TTTGATCAGCCACTCTTTCTTAGTTGGGACAACATCCTCTTTCCATCTCTGGACAAATACCATTCTGGCTGCGGTTGTAGCATACATAGACAAATTTCTAAGGTCCTCTGGAATTTCTGTATTCACTATCCCTAAAAGAAAAGCTTCTGGTTTTACAATTGGCCAAGCATTTTAAGGCAGCCTTGTCATGTTGATTTGGCCGCTTGCAGGACAACGGACACAGTCAGGGCGACCCAAGTAGCTGGTATTTTAAATGCCACATTTTATTGACTTGTAAAAGACGGCATCAGTGCGGCCATTTCCTCCGCTGATCATTTACCTGACAGCTTTGTTCCACCTACCTCCCAGCCTTCACTTTCATTGCTGCAAAAGACAACAACCTCACATATCCCCTTCAAAAAGGAAGTCATTCATGCCATAATTGCCTTGGCCCCAAACAAGCCAGGAGTGTACAATGGAGGCAATCTGTCCCATGTTAGGTGGAAGTTCAACCAGATGCCTGGAGTTTCTGCTGCATATTCAGCCAAAGTATGGACGGAATTATTCGCTTTTGAACTGAGATTTATTTTTATTACAAGGGGAGGGGAAGAAGGCGGAGGAGACAGGACACTTTTCTCCTTGACCTGAAACGAGCAAACAGACAGAATATAGGGGCACTTTGTTTCCAGCTCCGGGGTCAGCAGGGTATTCAGAAAGAAAGTGGGATATTTGAAACATTTAGGAAACAAACGTAATTGAAGGCGGATGGCATCTGGCTTCAGAAGCAAGAGGCTTTATTTCCGTAGCATGTAATTTTTCACATTGATTCGTAAAGGTTAGGGCACCAAAGTGTTGCACAGAAAGCTTGGAAAGCTGGGCGAATTTTCCCAAAAATGGAGATGGCGGGGAAGAGAGATTTGTTTGTTAGCGGCTTCTACGCCACAGATTGCACACACGCACACACACTTTCAATGTTTCACTGGTTGCACAGGAGCTGAAACCGCCTTGGCGTCTTCCCACAAATCCTTTTGTCATCCTCATCGCAGAGCATCAAAACCATTGGAGGTTTTTTCCTTGACAGTTCTCCTCAGATTGTGCATGACCTTAGCATACTCTGCTAGCTCCACAGGCGACTTCAGAAAGGCGCTTAGGAGAAGCGCAGCTCTCCAGCAGTTTTTCTCTTCTCACCTCTGGCAGGTGTCTGCCACACGCCTAACCTAGTTTAAAGTGGTGCAGACCAGTTGAGGTCAGGGGTGGTTGAGCATGGCTAGGCATGGCTGGGATTATGCTGGTAGCTCTTCATGCTATGAGGGCACTCAGTTCCAGATTTAGGATGGTGTAGGCCAGGCATAGGCAAACTCAGCCCTACATGTGTTTTGGGACTACGACTCCCATCATCCCTATCTAACAGGACCAGTGGTCAGGGATGATGGGAATTGTAGTCTCAAAACAGCTGGAGGGCTGAGTTTTCCTATGCTTGCTGTAGGCGGTTCCCCTACACAGGGCACCAATCCCAAAGGGGAGGAGAAGGAGAAGTGTGATTTTTCTAGAAAAAGAGGTGCTTTCGGCAAAGGCACCTATCCGAGAGATGCCGGAACTGAGTTCTAGCGAGTTCTGGCTAAACAAGTCCCTGATAATGATGATGTTGATAATATTACTACTACTACTACTTTATTTATATGGGTACAGTCTTGTCACCTGTACCAAAAAGAATTACTGTGAAAATAAAAGATAGAGGGCATACCAAATTTTGTCCTCACTTAGGCCACCATATTGCCAAAGTCCGCAGACTTTGTGTTGAGCATGGCTCTTTGCAAGCTGGCAAGGACTATGCGCCGATCATTTTAACCCAGGGTTTTGCCTAATAGTTGAAATGATTAGAATATGGTCTGGATCCAAAGGAGGCGACTTAGGCTGCAACCCAAACCCAACTTACTTGAGAGAAAGCCCAATTTAATTCAGTGGGGCTTACTTCCCAGTTGACCCTGCTAGGATGGCACTGTTGGATAGGCAATGGTAGGCCTGAGTTTTCAAGTTGGAGCTCAGCGCTGGAGACCCAAGGAGTCAGTGTGGAATGACATGCTTTAGTACTGCTATATGTCCATATCTTCCCGGACGTTACTGGGATTTCACAGGCAGAATTGACATCCGGGGGGGGGAGGGGGAGTTCCGAAAGGCGGCGCTTTTTCCTGCATCTTAGGAAATACAGCAACCCAACTTACTTCTGATTTAACATGCACAATATGACATTGTAAGGAGCTGTCCTTTTAATATAGATTTTCATCTTCATGAATGCTCCTATCTAGGAGCAATTCACAGTACTCGGTTATTTTAAGTCCTTTCGCGTATGAGCCATTAATGAATCCCTCGTTTGTCTTCCCCTCCACCCTCCTTCTCCTTTCATGTAAATCTCACAGCAGACGAAGCAACAGCTTGGCAACAAACAAACACCTGTCAGTTAGGGACACAGTCGGCACTCCAAATGCCTCCCCCCCGCCCCCATCTTCTGTCATAGACGAAACAAATCCTTACAAAAATGTAACTTTTCATCTCTTCTCGACTTGACAACATTTAGACCAGGGGTCAGCAACCTTTTTCAGCGATGGGCTGGTCCACCATCCCTCAGACCATGTGGTGAGCCAGACTATATTTTGGGGGGGAATGAACAAATTCCTATGCCCCACAAATAACCTAGAGATGCATTTTAAATAAAAGCACACATTCTACTCATGTAAAAACACGCTGATTCCCAAACCATCCAAAGGGCCGGATTGATGTTGCCTACCCCTGATTTAGACCTAGCTTACAGGCCTTACCGTGGATAAAGGCACAAGATAGACACAATGAGGAGGAAAAGGGGCAAGGGAAGTATCCATATTGTGTGTATATGTGCCAATAAAAATAACAGTTATGAGCACATCATAATATTAAGGATAGCTCCTCATAGAGGTTTGGTTTACACCCTGTGTCAGTGTACAGTGGTACCTCAGGTTACGAACTTAATTAATTCCGGAGGGCCGTTCTTAACCCAAACCGTTCTTAACCTGAGGCGAGCTTTCACTAATGGGGTCTCCCACTGCCGCCGGCAAGCGATTTCCGTTCTCATCCTGGGGCAAAGTTCTTAACCTAAAGTAACTACTTCCGAATTAGTGGAGTTTGTAACCCGAAGCGTTTGTAACCCGAGGTACCACTGTACTGTAATAGGGGACAGCTGAAGCATGCCATTAGTCATACCTCAGATTACAGCTGCTTCAGGTTGTGTTTTTTCGGGTTGCGGACCTCCGAAACCCGGAAGTACCGGAATGGGTTACTTACGGGTTTCGGTGCTCACACATGCACAGAAGCACTTAATTGCGTGTTGCGCATGTGCAGAAGTACCGAATTTGCAACCTGCGCGTGAGCAGACCTGGGTTGCGAATGTTGCGGGTTGCGAACATGCATCCCACACGGATCATGTTCGCAACCAGAGTGTCCGCTGTACTGTTGTCAGTCTTCCTCAGCCTGGCGCCCCTTGGGAGCTGGTATTCTGATGGCAGTTGTATTTACTTAATTATTGGGTTTACCTTCAACCTTTTTCTATAAGCAGTTGAAGGTGGCATACATGGTTCTCCCTCTCCTCATTTAACTCCCACAGCAACCCTGCAAGGTAGGTTGGACTGAGAGGCAGTGAGCTTCATGGCTGAGTAGGGCTTTGATTAGTGTGACATGCTATTGCGGCTTTTGCCTAATTATATTAATCTTAACTCAGTAGGTCATCTGCACAAGGTACACTAATAGAAATGGAGGGGGGGGAGTGTGACGGCCAATTGCTGCAAAATATGTTTGCTTTTGTATATAGCCCTGCCAGCTGCTTTTGACTTGCTTGCTCTAATTGAACGGTGCCTGTTTGTTTACTGCCAAGCTGTACAAACACTTTTAAATCAATTTAATTCGGTCTCCGTTTTAGCACATTGCACTTATTCAGCTGTCGACAGAGCTGGAAACGCAGCCGGGCTTCTTACAAAGAAATCAGAAAGCAGGAATCACAGCACACACCTAAGGATAACATCCAAGACTGGCTGGCTGGCGACTTTTGCCCAAATCTTTGGGCTTATGAAGTCCTCTCACCCAACCCTGACAAACCAGTCATTGTAAGAGCCAAACTAGATGGAAAAACAGGAGATCTGTGGTTGGATCTCCTCTCCCACCTCCTGAGACATTTTAAAAAGGGGAAATGTGATTATGGCTGGGGAGAGGGAATAAATCTAATGGCGAAGAGCTGCAGATCCGTAGTAGAGTGCATTCTTTGCAGAATTTCCCAGGTTCAATACCCAGTACTTTCAGGTAGGACTGGAAGAGACCCCCTCATACATTTCAATAGGAATGTCAATAATAATAATAATAATAATAATAATAATAATAATAATACCCTGCCCATCTGACTGGGTTGCCCAAGCCACTCTGGGAGACTTCCAACATATAGAAAAACAGAATAAAACATTAACATCTTAAAAACTTCCCTATACAGGGCTGCCTTCAGATGTCTCCTAAAGGTCGTATAGTTACTTATCTCCTTGGATCAGGGGTCACATAACTCCATACCCCCCAACATTTTTCCAATGAAAATAGGGACATCCTAAGGAAAAGCGATGGGACGCGGGTGGCGCTGTGGGTTTAACCACAGAGCCTAGTACTTGCCGATCAGAAGGTCGGTGGTTCAAATCCCCGAGACGGGGTGAGCTCCCGTTGCTTGGTCCCTGCTCCTGCCAACCTAGCAGTTTGAAAGCATGTCAAAGTGCAAGTAGATAAATAGGTACTGCTCTGGCGGGAAGGTAAACGGCGTTTCCATGCGCTGCTCTGGTTCGCCAGAAGCTGCTTAGTCATGCTGGCCACATGACCCGGAAGCTGTACGCTGGCTCCCTCGGCCAATAAAGCGAGATGAGCGCCGCAACCCCAGAGTCGGCCAGGACTGGACCTAATGGTCAGGAGTCCCTTTACCTTTACTAAGGAAAAGCGGGACCATCCGGGATCAAATCAGAAACTGGGACAGCTCAGTTAGTAGAGCATGGGACTTGTAATCTCAGGGTTGTGGGTTCAAGCCGCATATTGGGCAAAAGATTCCTGCATCTCAGGAGGTTGGACTAGAATTCAGGGGTCAGCAAACTTTTTCAGCAGGGGGCTGGTCCAATGTGCCTCAGGTCTTGTGGGGGGCTGGACTATATTTGGGGGGAGAAAACAAATTCCTATGCCCCACAAATAACCCAGAGATGCATTTTAAATAAAAGGACACATTCTACTCATGTAAAAACACTCTGATTCTAGGACTGTCAGGCCGGATTTAGAAGGCGATTGGGCCGGATCCAGCCCCCGGGCCTCAGTTTGCCTACCCATGGACTAGATGATCCTTGTGGTCCTTTCCAACTCTACAATTCTATGAAATACTATGACATATTTAAAGATGATCTGATTCAGTACAGGGCAGCTTCCTGTGTTCCTAACTCTTCCCCCCTTGCACTCTTTTCTCAATCTGAATTGCCTCACTTGCTTCTGCAGCATTTGCCTTGCAGAAGGAAACAAACATGCACCTACATTTAGCACTAGCAACGCATGGAAAAAGGAACTTAAAAAGACATGTCCTTGCTGCACCCAAAGGAGTTTCCAGTCTACAATACAATATATGCCATCATTCTCTGAATATATACCATGATTCCTGGTTTGGACATAGTGCTAAGCCAGTTGTTGTGCTATGCCTTCTCCCAGCACAAGTGTAGAGGAGGCAAAATGGCCATGATCTGCATATTTCTGGCAAACCATTAACAATTGTTCACAGTGGTGGCACTGTGGTCTAAACCACAGAGCCTAGGGTTTGCTGATCAGAAGGTCGGCGGTTCGAATCCCCGCGACGGGGTGAGTTCCCATTGCTCGGTCCCTGCTCCTGCCAACCTAGCAGTTCGAAAGCACATCAAAGTGCAAGTAGATAAATAGGGACCGCTCCAGCAGGAAGGTAAATGGCGTTTCCGTGCGCTGCTTCGTCATGCTGGCCACATGACCCGGAAGCTGTCTGCGGACAAACGCCGGCTCCCTCAGCCAGTAAAGCGAGATGAGCGCCACAACTCTAGAGTCGTCCGCGACTGGACTTAACAGTCAGGGGTCCCTTTACCTATGATGTGCAAATGAAGCTATTGCCTTAAATATTCACAAACGTACATGCGTATATAGCCATGATTGGCTTAGAGGCACAGGCAAAAGAGGCTGTGTGAACAAGCAAACAAGATGGTTTGTGGTGCAAAGATTGCTCCCGTTTCACTCCTCCCCCACTACTGCTGCTGTTATGCTACCAGGAACTAAACCATGGTTGCATTACCTGCAAACCCATGGTTGTCTCCCCCTAACAAAGCATGAGCAGTATGCAAGAACAAATCTTAGTTACAGATCATGGTATGATGAGCAAGACAAACCATGAGCCAAGGTTTGCATGAAATACTAAAGCAAACCATGGTTTAGATCCTGGTAGCATAGCAGCAGCAGGACAGAGCAGGGGGCATGGAGGAGCCAGTATATTCCCTCCATAGACCAGCATGCTTGCTTGTTCACACTTAGCCATGGTTCAGCTCAGTGTTACATGAGAACCAGGCCGCACACAATGTCTTTTTTTTGCTTAATCAGTGGTTTTCTAAGAGTGTGGCAGGAGAGGATGGCAAACGTGGCAAGAAGATTTGAGGACAATCAAGCGAGCATTTCAGAACATTTCAGAGCAGTATAGTACAGTATCAAATTATTTTCCAATGCATTTCTTACCAATAAAAAATTGGTGTGGTGCGAACAAATTTTTATTCCGAAAGTGTGGCCCAGAGAAAAAAGTTTGAGAACCACTAGCTTGATGCAATGTGAAATGGCGCCCCTATCAACCAATTTATTTTGGAAGGAGGCAAAACATTGCAACAATAACTTGCCAACAGCCACACAAGAAAATAATCCATGCTCAGCTAATTTAGCCATCAAAGTCTATAGACGTCTGTCATTAAACAGGAAAAAAACACTGCTGGAAAATATTAAAAGGAATCTAAAGTTAAGGGAGTCTAGTCTACAGGTGATTATATACAAACTAAATATTGTTAGCCATATGCGTACGATATTTATGGCTTTCTCCTAGCAACTTTACGTTAATATAAAAGAAACCCCATAACAGCCTTTCTTCTGTGTGACAGGATTTGTCTTTCCTTTTTTTAAGAAAATAATAATATTAAAACCAATAGGTAATTGCTATTCATGGAAATGATCATTCATTGGTGTTTTGATAAAAGGGGATTTTTTTTACTCCCACATGGTTGCTACTGCTTTGCATTGGGGCTGTGTCCTTACTCAAAGCATAAAGCATGTTGTTTGTGAAAAGAAAAAGGCTGCCTTTTTGTTTGTGTGTTTGTACATTTCATATATATATATATATATATATATATATATATATATATATATATGCTGCACACATACAGATTCTCATCCCTGTAAAAACGTTGCACTGAGACACATTCCTTGACTAATCCTATTATCTCCCAAGCATAATCCTATCTCTCCAGTTGGAAGCCAAACCTGTTAGTTTGAACTGCTTTCAGAAACCTGCCTGGAATGTCCTGCCAAATGATGAGGAGAATTAATCATTCTTCCTGTTTCTCTAGGTTTCGTTTTTCATTTAGCTATTTTCATAGATTCACTGTCATAACTGAAGGATAAAACAGAATACTGAATTCTATCATAATTTGGGGGGAGGAGGGTGTTTTAAAATTTCCAAAATTCATAACCTGCAAATTGATTTCAATAGCTGACATGCGCTTCTCATGTCCTCTGAAAATGACCAGTGATTTTCTCCCTTTGATGCAGCCTTTTAAGATAGGTTCATTTTGCCATTTTAGCCACAGGCTATATTCTTCACAATAACTCTATAATTGTGGGGGTGGGGCAGTATTTGGTGACTTTTCATTTGCTTGCTAACTCTTTTTCGTAAAACAGTTAAGGTATTCATCACTAATTCCAGACTTCAGCTGAATCTTTCCAAATATCACATACCCTCCAACAGTTCTCCCCAATACTGTAGGCAGCTTCCAACATATATAAAAACATAACCAACCATTAAACATTAAACGCTTCCCTATACAGGGCTGCCTTCAGCTGTCTTCTAAAGGTTGTATAGTTACTTATCTCCTTGGCTCAGGGGTTACTTAACTTACCCCCTCAGATGAAAACAGGGACATTCTACCATACCGTCCAACATTTCTTGAATGAAAATAGGGGCATCCTAAGGAAAAGTGGGACATTCTGGGATCAAATCAGAAACCAGGAATGCTTCTGTAAATCTGGGATTGTCTTTTGAAAATAGGGACACTTGGAGGGTCTGATATCATTTATTTGTAATACACAGCCTGCCACATCTGCTAACCCATGTTGTGTGCAAGTATATATATTTTTTAAGACTGAAGTTTATGAAATGGCTTCCATCAGATTTCTGACTGGGTGGTTTTTATGCATGACAGCCTCTCGTTTAGCATACCCTCCAACATTTCTCCAATGAAAATAGGGACGTGACATTCCATGATGATAATTTTACTATTTATACTCCACACATCTTACTGGGTTGCCCCAGCCACTCTGGGCAGCTTCCAACATATACAAAAACATAATAAAACATGAAACGTTTGTAAGAGAGAGAGAGAGAAACCCTTCCCCATGACCCCTCAGCATCCTCTGCAGAAGAACGCCACGTCGAACCTTTGTAGCTTTGCCTTCTGGGTCCCCTGGGTGGGGGTCCCCTGGAAAGATCCATCCCCTCCTTCTGCGCCCTCTCCAGACGCCCAGATGACAACCACTTAGATGGGACACACGCAGTATTAATGGTGGCTGGAAAGCAGAGATTCGCGCAGAGCAAGACCTCGCTGACTCTCAAGGCAATGCAAATCAACTCTCCTGGGGTGGTTCTGGCCTGCCGGTGAGAGGCAAGAGCTGCCTCTCCACAGAAGACGCTTGATGCAAAACTCTAGTGCTTAGATGATGCACCTTATTCCCCCCACTGCTTGATCCTCATTCTTTGTTGAATAAAATTAAGTTTGCTTTTTAAAAAAAAACCCCCATGAAACTTTTTTTTAAAAAAATCCGTATACATGATTGCCTTCAGATGGCTTGGGCGTCAGATAACTCCATACCCTCCAAAATTTCTCCAGTGAAAATAGAGACAGCTTAAGGAAAAGTGGGACATTCCGAGATCAAATCAGAAACTGGGACAGCTTATCACAGGCATAGGCAAACTCAGCCCTCCAGCTGTTTTGGGACTACAATTCCCATCATCCCTGACCACTGGTCCTGTTAGCTAGGGATCATGGGAGTTGTAGTCCCAAAACATCTGGAGGGCCAAGTTTGCCTATGCCTGGCTTATCTAAATCAGGGACGTCCTTGGAAAATTAGGGACACTTGGAGAGTCTGGTTAGTGTGTCCATTTCATGCAACCAAGGCCTTGCTGGTCTCAGTGTCCAAATGATAAGGGGAAGGAGGGACATCGCAAATTCTTGGTCTTGATCCTTAGGACAAAGTATCATCTAAACCAGCGTTTCCCAAAGTTGGGTCTCCAGGTGTTTTTTGGACTACAACTCCCATCATCCTTAGCTAGCAGGACCAGTGGTCAGGGATGATGGGAAATGTAGTCCAAAAACAGCTGGCGACCCAAGTTTGGAAAACCCTGATCTAAACAGACCCGAACTGAATGGGAAATGTTGGAACTGGACTTTAGCAGTGCCCCCCCACAAGTTGCCATCACAGATAATATCCCTTTTCTTTATCTTTATTGACTTTGAGACATGATTCTGAAACAGGAGCCCTCTGTGACTGCATAGAGGACAGTAGCTTTACAGTGCCTGCTCTTGACTACTGTCAACATTAATTGAACCTCACATGGCTGTGCTAATTTGTCTCACACAGACCCACACTGCATAGCTTGTAAATATACAGAAGCGGTAAGATTTTGTTATGCAAAGCATTCTTCTACAAGTCATGAAAGGGCCCCTTGGATTTTGTTGGCACGTTTTGACACTTAATTGGCACATATACTATTTGAATTAAAAACCCATACACAAA